TCTAATAGCTTAATATATCTCTGGATTAGGGCTGAAATCAAGGCACAAATAATTGTGGTAAAATGCTAGAAGTTTGAAATATTTCTAGGTGTCATTCTTCATGTGGGACAAGAAAAATAGTCGTTACTTCACATATCTGTTGTTAAAGGGGAGGAAACTTCTAAATTGTGAGAAACAAAAGGTAAGGTCGTGGTTTCACAAGTCAAAGCTTCAGCTGAAATTGAATATAGCACATTTGAGGATATTACCAGGAGCTCTTGGAAAAAGACAATAAGTGATTGCTTATGATGAATGATCCTCAGTATCTCATCTAAAGGACAGTGTACCACATCTAGGTATCTAAAGATCCACAGTAAAAACTTTGAGGTTCACTGACTTTTGTGACAGACGTAAAACTAAATGTTATGTTTATATGTGTAATTATATGTTACCAGACACCAGTTCAGTATCTGACTGCAGTTCAACGAAATCTGTCACCACCTTAGTTTTTCATCTAGCAACAGATTTTGTGTTCACTAGGGAAGAAGAACAAGAAAAGAAAAAGAATCTGTTGTCCCTGATATTGAACCTTTAACCAAGTTGTTGTTGCTATAGCAATAATATTTCTAAAAATACTAAATTTAAAGTAACAGCTTGTAAGAGATTTTTTTTTTTTTCTTGAGGTCTCTCACACTCCACCTAAAGAGGCTGGATAGCTGTATTTTCTGTCAACAAAATACTCAATTAAAAAAAAAAAAAAAAGTGGGGTGACCTATTTTTCCTTTAGGCTAGCATTATATCAGTAAAACAGACATTGTAGTGCAGCTGTAGAAAAACGTAGAAACATTTAGAAGATGCACAAGAACTCCTTATTGGTATCACTATTCCCCACCCTCTATCAGTACTAGGCCATGGCTTTTCACATGTGGTACAGGGCAGCGGGTGAAACTGGGCAGGATTAGGCTGCAGTTTCACAGGGCTCTGGAACTACAGGTGACTGATGTCTCATGGAAGGAAAACCCTGGACATCTTCAGTGGGTGCAGCAGTCACTCCAGTCTCCTGATATGTGCAGAACCACACTTCAGTTCCCTTTCTTAAGTGCTGGTACCAAGCTCTGTAACACTTACACTCCTTTATCCTCTCTATTCTGAGTGGAGACTGGGAGCAAATGAAGGAGATGGTGCTTTGCTATGTTAGAAACTGGAGAACTAGACCAGTGACAACACTGATGTTGGTAAGCAATGTGAATAGTGGCATGTAGCTAAACTATGGCACTGTACTCCTCTCCTTACTGGCATAAAAGAGTAACAGTCTCAGAAACTTGTCATTGGAGTAGTTAGAATCATTTTTAAATGTCATTCTCTGTGAGTGGAAACAGGAACTGGAATATAGCTGAAATTCAAGCTTCTCTTTCTCAGTTGCTCTGAAGTCAGATGTGTTAGAGACTTAGAAAAAAAAAGTGAGAGTGTCTGTTAGTCCCTGTTAGTCCACAGCTGTGTGAGTCAGGACTGATGTTAAGATGTGTTGTTGGATCAGAAAAAAAACAATGATCTGCATCTTGAATGTCATGAGACAGCTTGTGGCTAGGATTCTAGGAAACACAGCTCAAATGAAGACTGAAATTGCACCAGCAAAGTCACTACAATTCTCTGAAGAACTCCTAACTTAAGAAGTTGCATTATATTTTTGGACTATTGGAAGGTAGATTCTGCTTGAAGTATATTATTGATATATAAATCTCTGCTGTTATTGTGCTGAACACAGTATTGTTTAGCACTGACATTTCATACACTAGTTATTAAATAAGTTACCATCATAATCCTTTAATTATCCATATCCTTATTGAATATCTTGAGAAGAGAGACAGTTACTAGTGTCTCCTCAAAGTCATACATTAGTGATTTTAGGACTTGTCTGTTAGGGAAAAAAATGGAATTTGAATTCATTTATTTCTTCTTGCCATTAAATAGATCTTCGGAATTTATAAATTCTTTGGTGTAAGAAATGTCCTTGCTTTTGAAGGAGTTTCTGTGAACTTGTGTCTGATTGTTTTACTGCAGAGCTACTAGGAGTTTTATACAAAATATTCAGTAATAATAGTACATGGATTGAAGCCTTCATGAAGACATTTATTTTTCACTGTTGTATTCTCCTATTGTGTGATTCTGAAAAAATACAGATGTTTATTTTCATACAGTAAATTTGATCCAGCTGGGACAAAAAAATTTGGAGTGAGAATGAAAAAGAGTGCAAATCTTTAGCTGTGTAAAAGTATTGAAGTAAATACAGAAATGATTGAAGTACAGGGCATTGCAGTCTCCACATCTCAGCTTCCTCATTTTAACAAACAGTAAACAGATAAAGCTAGCATTTCATAACAGCCGAAGAGATTAGGTACCCATGTTTTATTTTCCTGAAGTGGACCCCTAATTTATTTGAGTTTCTTCATGAAGCCCAGCCTACGGGCCAGCTGTTGTCATTGATTTCCTTTATCTCAAAATGATCTTCAGTAAGGTATGGAGAGACTACAAGAACTGATGCGATTAAAAAACGTTCATTAGTAATATTGAAAGTTGATCCAAGCTAAGGTTTTGATAAACAGTGGTGGAAAACTTTAAGGTATAAAATTACAGGGCCAAATTCTGTGGAAGTGAAACTCTTTGAGCAGGATCAGGACCTTGAATATACACACACTATGGTCTCTTCCCCTGCCTTCTTGGATTTGGCTGCCTGTGAGGAGGCCAGTGCTGGCATGGTGCTGCCATGCAACCTGGGCCAGGCTGCTGGTAGAAGTTATGTGAGAAGAAGCTGGAGGATTCTTGATGGCAATTCCCCCTCCTTGGGACAGGAGTTACTTGTCAGCTCAAGCACTTACCATGCTGAGCTACATCTCAGAAACATAGTGTCTGGCCTTGTACCTCACTGAACCTGACTTCAGCTTGCTGCCTTGGCTTTTCATCTCAACCTCAGAATGCCTTGTCACTATGGATTTGTCTAGGGCTGCTGGCTGATGCTGGTTACCATCACCAGATCTGATCTGCACACCTTGCTTGGGTGCTGTGGAACTGCACAGTTCCACATTCAGCTTTCTGGTTCCTGGTTCCCTGTCCCTTGCAGAGCAGCCAGCTCTGACACATTAAACTTGAATCAACTTTGTTGTTTAGCTTTAGTTGTCATTATCCCTTATTTAGGATAATTTTAATCCCCAACAGATTTACATTTCAAACTTTTTTTGCACGTAGAAGGTGTAGAAATAAATTACTGAGATTTTTTTTTTTTTCCCCATGAAGCTACAGGGAATCTTGGTTCTGCTTTTATTCCAGAGCTGCAGTGAAAATTCATCCTATCGCATAACACATTATGTTCTTAGGTTAGTATAGGGACACATCTGTGGTGAAGCAATTTGCACTGATGTTTGCATTCTTTTTCTTTCATAATATATAAAATGGAATTAGAGAAAAAAGCACATCAAAACAAAATCCAGTATAAAGATTGAAGGAAACAAAGAAGGGAAAGGAATATAACTATTTAAAGAGGAAGGTAGCAGCCAGAGTAATGACACAAATGTTTATGAAAGTTCATAGCATCACATGATAATTCTGTTTGGGACCTAAGGAAGTCTCTAGTTCAATTTCCTGCTCCGAACAAGGTCTGTTGTGAGGCCAGATGAAGTTGCTCAGGGCTTTGTCCAGTTTGATCTAGAAAATCTGCAAAGATGGAGCATGCAGGACTTCTTGCTGCCACGTGCCCCACTGCTTGACAGTCCTCGTAGTTCAAAAAATTTTACTTTTATCAACTTTGATCCTTCTTGCTTTGAGTTATGTACAATTTCTTGTCCTGCTACATACTGCTGTGAAAAGCTTGGCTCCATCTTCTCAACACTCTTTGCAGGTATAGCAAGACTGCCATTAGGACCCCCAATGTCTTCTCTTCTCCAGGCTAAACGTGCCAGTGTCCTCAGCCACTCAAGTTCCCATCTCAGAGTGTGAAATGAATAAAAAATATAAATAGATGCAATCAGGAACAGTGGAATGAAAGTGATTTTTTTGTAATGGAGATATTTTCTGTGCAGAGGGATCTTGTTTAAGAATTTCCATGCTGACTGTGAGCACAGTATGCTGGCCGTTCAAGTATAATGCCAGTCCTGGATGTGTGCTGAAAAATGCTGGTCAAAATTCTTTCCATTACAGACTTGCTAGAGGGACATTTTTGGTGGAAATATATATATTTTTTTAATCCTTTATGAAACTGGGAAACAACCACAACTGAACATTCTTCCTGGAATCTGGCCAAAAGTGAAAAGTTTGTGAAAGGAGACAAATTTTGACTATCTTTTCATGGGAACGTGCAGCCATTGCTGTCTGTGACCCATGTGAACAAATCCCTGCGTTAACGGCTCTAATTTTGATCTGTGCTGAACTTCAACCTTTTCAATATTTGTGTTGTTTTATTGCCTTATTCTTTATTGGCTTGTTAGTATTGTTTGTTAGCTTAGTGATTTATTATTTTTATTTAATTTTCTGACTGAGAGTAAGTAAATGAATATAAATCTTTTTGCTCCTTTGACTCTACAAACAAAATTGCACTCCAGATTTCAGTCACAGTAAGCTAGACCAAAGAGAGGTCTTTTCTTTCATAGAGACATGAAACCTCACCTTCCAATTCTTTCCTTTCCTCCCTGAACATGTGAGGTAAAATTTCACCTTAGTTATCCATCTGTGGCTTGAATTTGGTTCCTTATATGTATTCTAAGTAATGAATCTTCAGTTGTCTGAAATTCAGTATTCATAATGAAACTGCATGCCATATGATAATATACATTAGGACATACATTTCCCAAAAGCTAAAAACGCATAAGAGCAGGTAAGTAACTGTCTACGTGGGGTAAACAATTTTAAGAGGTGGTTAATTGGGGAGGTTATACTAAAGGAGAATTTGAGTCATTACTGAATCAGGAATCATCATAACACTATCAGTTTTTCTGCTTTTTTATCAATCATTTGAATATTCTTTGTGTGTGTGCATTTTTCATTCATTTCTATCACAGTACTGATTTAAGAAAAAAATCATACAGAAGAATCTTTCTCAGATGAACTTTAAGATTTCTGTTAAAACTGAAAAACTAGATTGAAAGGACTTCAGCCTTCTTGCAGCTAAGTACAAGTGTACTGAGTGTATGGGCTAGCTAGCAAGCTGAGACAGGAGGACGTTCTTCAGGGGACCCTCTGTAATTCTGTCAGCGTATTATGTTCATTTTCCTTGGCTGTTCGTTAACACTGATTTACATAACACACCTGATTTTAAGAAATGTTATGAGAAATGCTCCCTGATTTAACTGACCTGCAATATATTCTTATTAGTTCCAGCTACTGGTTTCACCTAGATTAGAGTACTTTGGAGTTGTTTACTGAGATACAAGCAAGGGAAGATTTATTTTTACTTTTTTTCCCTTTACGTTATCCACTTTTTCTTTGACTGTGCTCTCACAGATGTCTTACAGAGTTTCAGTTTCACAGGAAGATCTGTAGGTGACCAGTGCATTGCTCTTTGTAGCAGAACTACACAGAGCATGTTCTTCTGGTTGGTTTCCTTCAGGCTTTTGTAGGTAAAAGCAACACCTGAGCAAATTCAGAATGTCTGTTCGTGCAGTTTCACTCACAAAGCAATAAAGAATGGGATCAGCAATGCAATTCAAACTTGTAAAGGCTTGTGTGATTCTGTAGATTTTATAAATTGACTGTAAAAGCTGTAGGTTAGAGGTCTGAGGTTCTTTGATGCTCCGAATAAGCAATACAACATGATAAGGAGTGAAACAAATAATGAAAGTAACTGTGATATTCAGTATAAGTTTCTTGATTTTTTTCTTCTCTTCATTTACTGTCGCTTGATTACACCTCACTGCTTGGTAGATTTTATGGTAGCAAAACAAAATGATTATCAAAGGGAGCAGGTACCCTGAGCATATCCGGAATAAGTTCAGCTGTGCCTGCCACCATTCCAGGGGGTATTTATCATAACATAATATATGATTAGTAGAATTGCAAGGATCATTAAATACTTCTTTATTCATCAGTATAACTGAATTAAAGGTACCTTCCAGAAGCCAAACAATTATGCTGACAATCAGTGAAATTCTTCTTGTACGTAAGTGCTGGAACTTCAGGGGGTGAACTAATGCCAGGTACCTATCGAGAGAGATGCAAGCAAGAAATGCAGTGCTGGTGTAAAAATTCATGTATGTAAGGAAGGCAGAAAACTGGCAAAGCCTGGCAGAGAGTGTCCAGTTGTCTCCATTCCAGGCATAATCAATCCACAAAGGCAGAATCACAGAGTACAAAAGGTCAGCCAGGGACAGACTAAATAGGTAGACTGCCAACTCATTCTTTTTCCTCACCTGAATGCAAGACACGTAGAGGGATATGCAGTTGATGGGAATACTGATCACCATCACAGTGCTGTACACAAATGGAAACAAATACTTATCCAGGGTGTGATCATCATGGCACTTAACAGTGTTGTTCATTGTCCACCATATGTAGTTTTGGGCTAATTCCAGCCCAGATACAATAAAAAAACAAGCCTGTAGTCTGATTGGTGCTCATCTGTTAGTTTTTCAGGATGTGGTTGGTATGATTCCATCTTTCTGTTGGAGAGGAAAAAAAAAATAATCAGCTACTACAATGTTTTTGGGCTTCTTTATGGAATTTTTTTGTTTTTTTCTTTTTGTAGGAGATCAAAAGATTTAAAAATCTCTAGCTGGACACATGCAGGGGAAGAACCCCAATGTCTAAGAAGGTCAAAGTCAGTCAGACACAATTTTATACAGCGGAAGTAGATTGAGTGTCTGAAACACATCCAGAAAGATAGAGTCCTGCAGTCACAGGAGAGACCTGTGACTTCTTTTTTTTTGTTGCAACAACCAAAAAAAAAAAAAAAAAAAAAAAAAAAAAAAAAAAAAAAAAAAAAAAGTAAAAAGGTTCTGGCAGATTTTGTATCCCTGATGCCCTACTCCTCTTTAAAACAATGGTGAGACAAGGATAGAATGATGGGGATTCAGGTACCTACAGCTGTTGGGATCTGCTTGGAAGAGAACAAGTGGCCAAGCTGTACCTATTTTATGAATCATTCTTGATGCATCCTTATGCTTTCCTATCTCTTCACTCGTATGCAATCCCCCAGTAACTTGTCATGCTATTCCAGCAAAGGTTACTGCATGTCCAGGAATATTTATGTGAAATATGTCAAGCTATTGGATTCTTGAATGCATAGGAAAATCTGTTATGCCCAAGACTCCAATGAGACACTGTCTGAGTACAGTTTCTCATTTACACTTCTTTCCTCTAAGAAACTGTACTTGCCTTGCATGAGTTTGTAAAACCAGCAGTTAAGTTCATCCTAGGCACTAACAGAACCATGGGTGTCAATAGTTTTGGCATGAAAATACCAGTTAAATGGCAGCCCCAACAAGAGCACTGCAACTGAAAAAGTTGGGTGCATAGGTTTTGGAAGCACTTATATGAGTTGACCTTTCAGTAAGAAAGGGGGTACTACCATACATATGAGACAGTTGGCAATCACTAATTATATCATGCCTCTGTCATTTGGAAACACCAAGTGTGGTCTAGCTCTGCTGATAAATATAACAACTGCTTCAGAAATCACCTCTAGCAACTCATCTCTATTGTGAGCCTAGAATATCAGCGGAGGAGATGAAGAGGCTGTAGAATGAGTAGGTTGTAAGATAGAACTGCTTGCCAGTGTTCTCACATATGGACCAGTTCAAACTGTAGACAGTTTGTGGTATAGGAATTTTCCTAAATGATGGGTAAACTCATGCTGCCCTTTATGAGTCTAATGGATGCATGTGGAGGTTTGTGGGTTTGTCAAAGAAATCCATGTAGGCTTAGTGAATGTTGAGAGGTTATTATGTGGATGTCTCTTTTCTATCGAGAAATTCTCACTGATGTATGTATGTATGTATGTATTTTTAATGGAGCAATGAGAGAACTGGCCAGAAAGAACAAACTTCATTTTAACAGCCAGTGCTTTATTTGATCAAGTTGGCTCACTTTTCACAGTTAGTCGAAAAATCACTCACGTGCTTGAAACGCAATGAAAATTCTTGAGGACTTGTCAATCTGTTCAAGTGAGAGACTTTACTTACAAGATGACTATTCAAGAAAATTCAGTGTGTGTATGCAAGACGCACATAATATATCTGCTACTCGGTGTGGTTTGTTTTATTAAAACCGCATGGTAAATAGGGCATCTTAAGCTTACCAACAGAGATAAGCATCACAAATTAAAATTCAAGCCTAGAAATTGGATCTCAGGGTTTTTCTGGCCCACTTTTCACAAAAGCAAAGCAAATGATTGCAGACTGATTAGATAAATAACAGATTAAATACCTCTCTTCTTCTAATCACTTTTTATTGTCTTTTTTTTCTTTTCTTTTTTTTTTTTTTAATCTGTGACAAACCTTGCAGGGAAACATACCCCTTGAGAAGCATGTATGTAATTCAGCAGTAAGCGCATGAGGCAGTGTTTACATTTGTCATGTGACTGAGAAATAGGAATTCCTTTTCCTTCCCCCCAAAAGTCTTTCTCCATTGTTAATTGACTTGTATTACGGACTCAACATCCTTACAAGCTCCTGACTTGTCTCCACAGGTGGCTTTATCAGCTTGTTCATACTGATTTACAGATCAATAAACCCAGCTTCAACTATTTACTCACTGTTTTTAACAGTTTTCATCTACTCATCTCGCTGATCATAAGGTAAACATACTTTTCAGTATGTTGCACCTGTCTGAACAAACTGTGTGTTCTTCAAGGCAAGATCTTGTTTTGCTCTCCTGCCACCTGCCTTAAGGAATGAACAATGTAAGCAATAACTGGATAATGGCTGGGACACTGAAGATAATATTAAACAGGAGAAGAAAAAAAAAAAAAAAAGCAAGCTGAGATCACATGAAATTTCCCACCTTGTCAGTTTTTTGTCCTTCATGTTCACAGTTCACAGCACCTCATGGCTTTCTTTTCAAACAGTATCTTCAACAGTTTCTATGGACCCAGGAGGCCATCTGAACTTCCCAGGTAATTCATGTCTCAACTTTAATGACACACTATCAATGCTACTCATATGAGGATATGCTAAAAAGTGTGTCATTATGGTATGTATTGATGACCTATAATGAAGTGTGTCACAGAGCCAGCAAGTGGAGAATATTACAACATACGTTGTAGTTTCTTGAGCAAAAACATAAAAGCAGAAAGATCTGTTTTGCAACTGATTGCAACACATTTCTTTATAGCTATCTGAGATCTTATGTTAGGGGAGCCTTTTCATATCATACTTCCTTGCTTAGCACTTCTCTGATAATTATGACTGTGTAATGTAAAATGATTTGCCTTACCTGAAAATACGGTCTGAAGCTTGAAAATTTTTCTCATCTTCTGAGTACACCTGCTAGTTTTGTCCTTAGTATATTTCTCAATAGTCAATGCTCTCTTTTAGACCAATGATTGAATGACTGTAATTGTCCCAAAATCATTGCCATTTTGTTACAGAGAATCTGCTATTAAGAGAACTCTGGAGAAAAAAAAAAGTAACTTGCAATCAGATGTAAAATTTAGAGAAATGATCTACTGTATGCTATACTTTAAGTAATGTATGGAAACAAGCTTATAAATTAACTTCAGGAATATTCCATAATGTATTGGTATTGATTTATTTCCACAGAATCTAATTTAGATTCAAAGATTTCACAGTCAGACAATTTATAACATTTTGAATGTAACAAATGTACACTTATCCTTCCAGAAGCACAAATACAAATGGATGTTCCATACTTTTATCTGTAAAAGTTCTATGGAAAGGCTGGAAGAGTATTTAAAAAAAAAAACATTCCAATAAATCTGCCACTGTGTAGAAAATTATGAAAGATGGAGCAGACTGTGAGAATTTTGTGTTAAAAACAGGAAAGTTTGGTCACTAAAACCACCAATTTAATTTTGGAAGCATCCACAACTGATACATTTTCACTACATGTCCTTCATTAAAGTTCAATTTTAAAAAAGGGGAAGTTGAGTAAGCAGCATATCGCATTATACGATGATACATTTTTGCATGTACTTGGCTTTTTAGATCAGACTCAAATGAAGAAAACACTATCATATCAGCTAAATCAGTAGAGTAGTTGCTGTGCTAATGTCATTGTGTCATCAGCCATAAGATGGAAGGACAGATTATTTTTTTATTTCCTTTTTTCCCTAAACAAGTTCAACGAAGTAAATTTTGCTCACAGCTCGCTGAGATTCAGTAGAAACTCAATTGGGTATGAAAGAATTCAGCCTTTTTAACTTTGAGATACACTTCAGGCATTTTTTTATAAAGCATAGAGATTTCATTGATGTAACCAAATAGAAATGTGTGTGTGTGTGTATATATATATGTTCTTAAGTGTGTGTGTACATATATATATATATATACTTAAGAACATGGACCACACAAATGAACATCATTTTGCTATAAGTTTCTGTGCATCAAGTTTTCTTCTGTGTGTATAGAAAGATGCTGTAGAAAATATTTTCACGTTCATGACTGGTACTCTAGCATCTAGGAAGCTACTTTTAGAACAGCTTGTGTTTTTGCCAAGTATTAAGAATGGTGTATATTCTCATAAATAATGCTGAGTACCTTGTTAATGCAATAAAATACTAAAGAATAATAATAGAAGAGCGACTGGAATGCCTTGTGAGGCAATTTTACAGTGAGTACAGGAAAGCTCAGTATCCTCAAAACTCATGCCCAAATCCTTCCATCCTTTCCTCCCTCTTTCTCTGAGCAATAGGTATTTTGATCATGGCAGTACTATTACAACAATTAATCAAGCTGTCACGTCTTTTCTAACGCATTCTTTTGAAGTTATTTGTCCTTGTACTTTTTTAACTTTTAAGTGAAATATTTCACTCGTGTTGGGGGATGGAATATTACTTCCCCCAGAGCAGTTTTTCCAGCATCTTTTTGTGTCTCTTCTTGTTGCATGATATCAGCATCCCATTAAAGGAGAGCTACAATAAAACCTGTACCACAACATAAATAGTCTATTCACTGACTTCCTGAAGTGTGTGCACTTACCTAGAGAATCAAATGTTCCCACAGAGCAGTTTTACTCCTCTACCATCAGTAGGGTAATCAGGGTCTGGTTCTGAGAAGAGAAACTGCTTCAACAGATAAAGTAACAGGAAGCCGCTCTTGGGTGCGCTAATGAAGCAACAGCTCACAAGCCTTTTGATTTTTTTCTTTTCCTTTTTTTTCTTTTTTTAGACGATGTACTCATATGGAAATATGAAAAATGATGTTAGCCAGTTTGGTAGATCTTTTTTTTTTTTTTTTTTTTTTTTTGTAAACTTAGAAAAGTTTTAATGAAAATAGTGCCAGACTGCATGAGTGGAGTATATTGCAAACCCCTTATTTAGGAGACAATGCATTATGCAGAGAAATCGTACACAGAAATAAAACACTGGGTTGTTTTTGTTTTTTTTAATTTGTATGTGTTCAAAATATAGAAGATTTTTCTGACCAAAAGATTTGGCACTTGCTGTTCCCTACAGATTTATTACAGAATCAAAGACAAATGTACATATGAGGAATTCATAAAAAATATCATAAAGATTTCAGAAGTTCCTTCAAAAAAATCTAATTATTTTCTGAACCTTTATTGCTGTGCTGTTGTTTCTCTTCTGTTTGCTTACTGATGGAAGCAAGTTTGTGAACAGTGCTAGTTAACATAGGATAACAAAAATTTCATGCACTTCAATTTGCATATTTGTGTTTTTTTTAATACAAAATTAACTGTACATTGCTTTTATGAAGTGATTCTTTTAATAGATAATTAGGTGAAAAAAATGTTATATAGGCATAGTTTGTTCATTCCCTCTGTGCTCAGAATAATGTATTGTGTACTCTGATTTTTATTATTATTATTATTATTATTATTTGTAAATTCTGTTTATAATGATTTCTGTTGGCTTCTAAGAAACTGGGTGGAATTTTTAATTGCACATCTATTCAGTAACAACAAAAAAAACCAATCTATTTGATTATTCAGATGGTAATGAGAAATGAATCAGACAAATTTAAAAGCTCTAAAATTTGTACTTCTCTGAAAACAGTACCAAGTATCTGCATATTAAATTACTGGATGCAGAGATTTGGCTAGCTCCTTTTTTTCCCCAGACAGAGCATGACTTTTTTTTAGTTACATTTTTTTCTACTGATTGTCAAACAATTCAATTCCATTTTATGCGATCCTGAACTGGTCTCATAGCGCCCTCCAGCTTGGTGAAATGGAGGCTCTTCAGCACCTTACCTGGAAGAAGATGGGTTAGTTAAAATTCTAATTCAGAAATTCATCCAAAGCTTTATTTTCACGGAGACAGAAGTTATAAGACAAAGACCTGTTTCATCACTTTTCACCTGTCTTTTCCTAACGTGGCATCTACTAAGAATAATGTCTGGTGGGTAGTTGAGGGTTCCTATAGGTCACTGAAGAGAAAGCAATTTTTATTGTTATTACAAATAGAGAAATGTGGTTGATGTATTTCTGAAGGCCTTTATTGAACAGTTGATGGGGGACTGAAAAATCAAAGGAAGCAAGAGAATATATGATCATTCCATATGTTTCTGGAAGTAAAGTTATATGAAAAAAAAAATCAATTTATTACTTTCTTTATTTGCACACTCTATGTACGCAAAGCTGCAGTCTGCTGGAACAAAGGTGAATTAGAACCATCAGCAAATTCTGCCTCTGCCATGACTCACTGTAGCCTGAGGAAGTCACTCTGTGCTTCTACATGTAATAATGACACTATATAGCTCATTTGGGTGTGAGCAGGTTCATTAGTTAATACTTGATATTGCTGTAAAGTGCAAATGTTTCATGAGTGTTTGGTATTGTTATTAAAAAAGAAATAAACAGGAAACGATCAGGAAATGTCATCACTGAGGCATGAAATTCCTCAATGACACAGACAAGATGGACAGTCCCTCAAATAACAGCGTTCTTTGTGAATGGAAACATGAAAAACCAGGGCTTTTCTACAGCATTAACACACTGCCTGCATGATGTCAGCCACTGCACTTCCCAGTGCCTCATTCCTCCTGAAACATGCGGAACACGAGCTCTGCAGGACACCAATGTCAACAGTCAGAAAGCTCCACTTTAAGGATTTTTATATTATATAATCAGACTGATCACCAGTGTCCCATGGCAAGCAGCTGGAGCTCATTGACCTTCAAGGCCCCTTACTACTCAAGGCGTTCTATGAAAGAACTGAGGCCAGCCAGCAGTCCTCAGAGTACAGCCTCTTCCTGGGTGCCCTGCGCCCCAGAGCTGCTCCCAGCCTCTCCGCCGCTCGTACAAAAGATCAAAGGTCTTTCTCTCACCATGCTGTACCGATCATGCCTACAGCATAAGGGGTTTGGTCACAGCTACTGGTGAAGGCCTGGAAATGAGAGATGTACGCCACTCCCCTTCCAGGAAAACTGTTGGAGGATGTGGATCCGTAAGAAGAAGCAATTTTGCAGTTGATGAAAGTCACTTTGGCATAAGTATTGTGAACAGTGCTCATGCTGCAGAGTGCTGTTTTCACAGAGAAGCTCCGTCCACCTGTGATGCAAACACGCTGTCTCACTACGCGTCTCCTGAAACACGCGGCAGCTTTCCCACACCTATCATGGTTCCTCAATAGCTTCACTCACTGTTCAGCACCTTCCTCCAGCACGGCAGTACGCCTCCCCAGGGGCCGAGGCTTCTCGTGCCCTCTCTCAAAATGGCAGTCACCAGCTTCATTCCGCTGCTGCGCAGTAAGAGCTGAGACGCCATTCCCTATAGTAAAATGGCGGCGAGGACCGCTCGTGCCCCGCCCTCCTCAGGTGATTGCCAGGTTGCGCGGTCACGCGGCGCACGGGGGCGGGGACAGATGCGGGTTGTGAAGGGGCAGGGTGGGGCCGGGGGCAGAGCGGTGCAGGACCGTCGGGATGGAAGTTGTAGGGCGTTCTTTCTGCCTTGCGGCTCTGCTCTGTGCTTGGCTCCTGCTCGGCTCCGGCTGGGGCTTGGGGCCCCCCGGGGTCGGTGCTGCCTACGTGCTGGATGATGCCGGCGGGCTGGGCAGGGAGTTCGACGGGATCGGGGCGATCAGCGGCGGTGGGGTGAGCGGGGAGGATGTGCGCGGGGCTCCTCGGGACTGGGCTGACATCGTTTCCTTGGGGCTGCCGCAACTGGGGATGGGGAAACCTAGGGGATACCCAGGGGTATCGGCGGGCTGAGGGACTACCAGGGGGGATGTGGGGGATGTGGGGCTGGGGAGGCTCTGAGGGCGGCGTGGGTGAGTCGAGGCAGGGAGAGTGCAGGAGAGCTGGTGCAGGTGCTGTGCTTGCGGCTCTGCGGGATCTCCCTATATCCCTGCCCTCTGGGCTCCCTTTGCTGGTGTCACGGGTGAGCAGGGCTCCTCCAATCTGCAAAAGCACAACTGTGCAAGTGGAGGGTTAGGAAGAACTTTGTGTTTAGCAAGTTCTTTATGTTGTATTTAATTTTGTAGGATTATTAGTTGTGTGGAACTGCCTAGACCAAAAAATGAAGATGCACTTGGATGTTTGACTGTTAAGGTGTTTGTAATTTTGTTTTCTGTTTTAGGCCACATCTAGACTCCTTGTGAACTACCAAGAACCGTATCGCTCCCAGATCTTAGATTATCTGTTCAAGGTAAGTGCTGTGTTACTGCTGCTCCAACGTCTGATTTCATGCAGAGCTTCTTACTATCACCTGTTGGGATGCCTGTAGTATATTCAGGCCTTCTTAAGGTTAGGCAAGCTCGATCTTGTAAATCTGTTCAAAACTGTTTTTTCAACTTGACACTGAGCACTGAAGATGAATAGTTATTACCTATGAGTTATAGATGGTTTTGTAGCTAAAAGAGTGGAATGGTTGAGCCCAAAGAGAGTTTTAACCTATTAGGGCAACCCTGGTTTGCCCACCAATTCATTGTGTGGTAAGCTACTCATGCAAGTATATTCCATGAAGAGCTTGCTTTTTTTTTTTTTTTTTTTATGATTAGTAACTATGAATACAACACTTACATGTATTAAACACATTTTTTTTTAGTCTTACTGATTTTATTTTTATTATTATATAAGCTTTTATGCGTTCTTGTGGGATAAATATTTTAACCTTTTTTATTCCTTTCACATAAAGAATAAACTTTCTAGCTCTTCACAAGAGGGCATGCTCAGGGACATGATCTAGCGGAGGGTTGTTAGGATAGTTTGGTTAGGTTGTGGTTGGACTCAATGATCTTTAAGGTCTTCTCCAACCTGAGCGTTTCTATGATTCTAAGAGTTTTGATCCCTGTATGAAATTCTGGGAAGCTCCTTTTTCTGAGAGAATAAAACCAACAAATGTTGTCAAGTGTGCAGACTCTAAAACTGAAGGAAAGTTTCCTTCCTTCAGAGTATGACAGCTGCTAATGTATAGCTGATAGCTGCTGGCTGTACTAAAGGGGTTTTTATCAGAACTTTACATTTTTAGTTGCTGTTCTTGATGGCGTGTTTTTTTTTGTTGCTGGTGGGGTGGTTGTTTTTTTTTTTTTTTGGCAGCTTATTTCTTCAAATTATTAGGGTTTCTCTTATTCCTGTTTTCAATGTATTTTCATCCTACATTTTGGGTTAATGAGGGCTTTGCTGTTTTATGATTGTAGGAAGTCGATAGGACAGTTCTGATTAGACTACAGTAGTTTATCAATTTTGTGAATCTGGCGGCATCACTTCAGTAGAATATCTATTCCAGATTAGTAGAAAAAGTGTAGTTACTGCAGAAGGAATATTAATGTTACTGTTTTGTAAGCTGCTTTAAGTAGCAAGTATAACCTGTGGAGTTACTCAACTTAAGGCTATTGCACTGGACAGTAATAACTTGTTTTGCTTTTGGCACTGTAAATTACTCTGCTGAAGGAGAATGTCATGTCACTTTCAAGTACTGCAATCCAAATGGCTGGAGGAAAATAATTTACTGTGTAGCTTGAAATTGGGTAAAGGGTATAGCAAAGAATAATGTATAACTGGGGAGCAAATCCATGTTCTTTGGAAGACCTAAATTGTGTGTTGCAAGTATGAGTTTTCTGAAGGAGTCAGCAGAAATATGACAAAAGGAAATCCAGTTGTGAGAGCATGGTATTTAAAATTTTTTTAGTGTTTTCTTTCACCAAAACAAAAACTGCTATGACATATGCGGAAGGAGGCTTTGCCTCTATTTTCTTCTTGTATTTAATGTTGTTCAATTTGTGATAAAGATGGAAAAGGGTATGTGTAGAAGTTTAAAATAAAAGATGGCACAAGGAGAGATGTAAACTGAGGAATACTTGCTTCTTCTTTAAAAAAGTTAAATGATCTTGTAGGCTGAGCAAACTATTGTCCATGTAGGTGTGGGCTTCACTCATATTTTCTTTTAATAAGTTCATTACTAAATCTTAACGCTTATACTAGGATAATTTCATGGAGAAGGCCAGCTGCATTTGTGCTTATTAAAATAATGATTAGTTGTAAATTCTGGCTTGAGCAACTCTAAAACCACCAATTGCAAGAACATAGTAGGAGTTGGATGAATTGTGTATTTAAATTCTGTGTCTTGTCTGCCAGTCAAATGCAAGGGAAAAGAGATAGTGGACCAAGAGGCTATTTGTATCTCAGTATGGCAACTTTTCTTCTCTGGTAACCTGCTAATTACAGAAAAAGTTATTTCTGACACATATAGAAGGTCTTTATATCAAAGAAATTTATGAAGGTAGTAGGTTTAATAGTTTCATTATTTTGAAAGAAAGCACTAAGCTTGGCTTACAATAACATTAAAAATACTTTAATGTTCCTCATAAAGATTATCTTGTCATTAGTCTGATTTCTCTTTGTTGTTTTTGTTTTTTTTTCCAGCCAAATTTTGGTGCTTCTTTACACATTCTCAAAGTAGAGATTGGTGGTGATGGACAATCAACAGGTATAGATTATGCAGGGTTTAGCTTCTCATTTGCAATGATGCTGTAAGTAATGTGTCCTGCACCTGTTTCTCTTCAGTTGAGACATGGAGATGCATGTTATGTAGTTCTACTGAAGTTACACAGAAATATCAGAAATGGTGTCTGCAGACTTGTAAAAGTAATTTATACTCGTGTCTTAGAGATGGTGTTCTCTTCCCCCTGCCCTTCAATATAGAAATCTATAATATGGTAAGTAGTTTGCATTTAGAGAAATGAGTTCTCTGCAGAGCGTTTCTCAAATACTGTTTCTGTAATACAAACCCCGTGAAACTTGTATGGAGCTTAAAAACATGAAAATGCAAAGATCAGAAAGAGTTTTCATTTTTAGTTTATTGAGCTGCTACATTTCACTGGGGTTTGATCACTGTTTATCTTTTTTTTTTTTTTCTCTCCTTATGATCCTATTGCTCTAAATTTCCTGGTGGTTGTTGAGACCAAGGTAATCATAAATGCATATTTTAGCATTATCATATCTGGGAACAGGAAATGCCTGATAGCTGATCATGTTCTGTTGCAAAAAAAAAAAAAGTCCATCCTCCAAAAAACCAAACATTTATGCTAAGTTAACATGCTAAGAATGAAGGGTGGCCAGTTTTACATGTTCCCTTCCACTACTCATTTTGCTTTGAAGGTGTAGAGCAAAGAATGTGTGAACCGTACTGGAGCTATGTGCTTGACTGCGTATTGTGGCAGTGAGCAATGCAGAAAACTTTATAATGTGCAACAGCTTATGACACAGAAGATAATTGTGAAATGTTTATTTCCTCCCTAGATGGCACTGAACCCTCCCATATGCACTATGAAAATGATGAGAACTACTTCCGAGGTTATGAATGGTGGCTGATGAAAGAAGCTAAAAAGAGGAACCCCCAAATTAAACTGATTGGTAAATTATTCAAGTCTTACAATTTTTATATATATGTTTTCTAACTAACATATCTTACCCTTAGTTATTTTAATAGACTTTTTTGCTGTTGCTCTAGACAAGATATAGAATCTCTAGTATTTGATACGCTTGCATTGATGCTTCTCATAAACAGATTTTTGCTTTTCTATAGAAGTGTAACATTCTGGGTGGTGATCAATGCTTTGCTTGCATCAGGTGATATTAGTGCTTAGATTTAATTGCAGTGATGAATATAAATGATTTATCATGAGGGCTGAATTTCTGAATAACCAGTAGAATAAAAAATTTAATTTATTCCCCCGAATTTAAAGGAAGCATGAACCTGTAAATCTTTCGTGCCCTAAGTTCAGTCATATATCCTTATCATTAGTGCATCACCTTCCTTCCCTGTGAGAGTGTTTCCTGTCTTCTGCTCTGCTATGTGTGTGTATATATGTGTGTATGTATATTTGAGTTGTAAGATAACTTTATTGTTTTCCTGTTTTGATTGTGGGTTGTGTATCACAGAATGACTTGGGTTGGAAGGGACCTCAGGGTCTTATCCCCCTGTGACAGGTGGGGTTGCTAACCACTAGATCAAGTATTAGATCAGGTTGCTCAAGGCTCCATCCAACCTGGCCTTGAACACCTCCAGGGACAAGACATCCATAACCTGTATGGGCAACCTGCTCTAGCACCTCACCACTCTCTCAGTGTATGTGGCAATACAAATACAGAATCCTGGATTTTGATGACATACTTCACAGGATGTATTTTACATGAAAGAGAGGATGACTTTTTTTTTTCCACTCTGTCTCCAAAAAGTGTTTCAAAAGTGAATCTGGTTATAAATAATTTGATTTTATAATGAGATGCCAGGTGGCGTGCATGTAATTCCTGAAACTATATATAATTTCTTACTAATTGTGATAGAACTCAATTCTGAGGCAAAAGCACAAATATCAGCACTGTTTTGAGCAAATGTTTTAGTGAAACATTAACACTGAACTAGTCCTGAGCTAAATGCTGGGCTCTTCCGTGTGCCAGGCCTTCAATATTCCCTGACAAATTTAAAGATTAGCTGTTAGACCTGACATCTTATGATATTTGCCTTCCTCTCCTACCTTTTTGAGAGAATGAAATTGATCTTGGTGTTGAATACAAGTGCCCTATGCTATTGGTAGTGCTTTCATGAAGTGTACTGTTTCCATTTTGTATGTGGTAGTGGTAGTGGTTGCAGAGCTATTATAGTAATAATCAGGTACCTTTGTAATAGCAAGCCAGACTTCTGTGGTCTCCAGGGCAGAGAAACCTCATAATTAAAAATAAATGCACTGCATCACTTGATTGTGTAGTTAAGTCTCAATCTATTTTTTTCTGAGTAGCAAATTTCCATGTACAGCACAGCATTGACAAGGCAAAAAGTGTGGTTTGCAACTTATTCTTTTTTTAGTAGTTTGATTATCCTCAGTGCTCTTACAGTCAAGTGCCAATCAGATTTTTATTTCCTGATGTTTATTAGGAATAGGTGATGCATGAGAAATTCCTTCCAAAGGAAAACTTGTAACAAATGCGCAAGTGTGAAAGTTGTAAAAATACTTAAAAGTAACTGTTGCAATATTTTGACAGCTTTATTTCCAGGAGCTTGAAAGGTTGTCACTGATGTTTATTCTTCCACTCTGACAATTTTGGTTACATAATTTATCCCCTATATTCATTTCATGCTTTGTGAGTATAGTCCACTCTCTGTATTATCAGACTTCCTTTCTCTGTAGTCTAATGTACTATTCCAGTTTCAACAGCAGAAGTCCTTTGATTTTTGTGATTTGTTATTGCTTAAAATTTCAGTCAGCAGTATTTAAAAGCGCTTTTCAAATGGAAATACAAATGTATATTTTCTTTATCCTAAAAGACTGGTGAAACAAAGGTTATTCTAAGTACCTGTGAAATTTCATAAATATGGCAATTTTGCTATTTTACTCCACCTGCCTATGAGTCTCCTTACCTCTCATCCAGGAAGCAGGTTTTTCCTACCCATCCACAAGATGTGACTTGCTGCAGGTTTTATTGGTCAGATTCTTTTAGACAAGCACTATGCAAACAGCAAGCTTACCATCTGTGACTAATTGTGATTGTTAATACCTTCTTCCCTCAAATCAAGCCCACAACAAAGGGAGGAGAGTATGCCTTTTTAATTAATGAGATCTGGTGTCTTATACTGAATTAGCTGAAAATGTGAGAGAATCTATTTAGGTGAATAACTTGTTCTTATTTACCACAAGAGCCAATAAACTCAGAAATGCTTTTTCATAGTCCTAATCTTTCTTCCTTTGCAGTGAGTAAATCATTGTTTTCTCTGGAAGGCATACTCAGGAGATTTTTGCATTTCAGTATTGATCCTTTGTCTGTAATGCTGTAAAATGTTTTTTCAAAAGTCTTTCTTACTTTAAACCTGTTAGAATTTACACAGTAGAAAGATTATATGTAGTCAGTAGCTCTCAAATAACGATGGGTTTCTGACTTAAAATAAAAGCCACAAGTGTTTGATTCCAGTTTATATTACAGCATATTCTATGGTAAAATAAGTGTGTTTTGTTGTCTTTGCTGGAACTATGTGAATCAGAAGGGCTATCTGCTCCTTCAGTTTAGGAAAGATAAAGTGCAGCATGCTTTTAAACTGTACTAAATAATGCAGACCACCCACTTTAGTAATTATTTGCTTTTCTTCTCTTCTTTCCAGGATTGCCCTGGACATTTCCATCATGGATAGGGAAGGGTGAAAACTGGCCCTATGATTATCCACATGTCACTGTTTACTATATTATTTCTTGGATATTAGGAGCTAAACAGTATCATGATCTGGATATTGATTATATTGGGGTCAGTAAAATATATTTTATCTGTCTTCATTTTTAAGTTTTTTTTTTTTTTCTTGTTTCTTTGAATACTGGGAAGGGAGAGATGAAAAACTGTAATTGTGGTTATAACTTTCTGTTGCAATGAGACTGTTACCTAGCATAACTCCTGCCTTTCCTCAGTACTGGCTGTTAATGTGGAAACAATGTAAAGTGGCTAGACTCCTGACTTCCCAATTCTAGAAAAAAGTTACCAGAAAATTTAAAGATTTTGAAACTTGAGCGTGTAATTTCCTGCCTCACTTGTTCTCCTTGGGCTTTAGAAGTAACCAGCTGACGAAAAATGTTAGTTAAGGCTTAGAGTTTGCAAAACTCAGCTAATGTGAGTTCTTGGCATAAAATATGGTTATTATTTTGCTGAAAGGCAGTCCTCTACAACTTCTTCCATTTTTACCTATATTATTAAGTAGTTAGGGTGCATGTGTTACAGTATAACTGCCATATTGTGTTATAAGGGGTTATATGGAAGTAGTGAGGGAGTATCTGAGAAGAGTGTTATTTAGAGATGAGAGAGAAAAACACTTTTCATATTTGTTATTTGATTGTGATTCAACCTTTTTTTCTTTCCTTCTGATTAAGAAAATTGATAATCTGTCTAAAATAAGTCTTACACTTTCTGAAATACTCATTTTGGGCTTCCAAGTGTTTTGATGCAGAATAGTTTAACTGCAGTAAAGCTGACAGTCAACTCAGTGGTCCTGGGTTGAGCTTCTGAAGTTATGGTTCCTGTCCCACTAAGAAAGTCTGACTTTTTTTTAATGTAATGTGAGAAGGTATGTATGATGTATAGCTCTTCTGGCATGTCTCTATGTTGCTGACTATATTAGAAAGTGTCAGTCTTGCACTCTGGGTAACAACTTGTAGGGAGGCAGTGGGGAGGAAGGTATGTGCACAACTTTTTAGTTCTTGCCTTGCTCTGCCTTCAGAGTGGAAGGTAAGTTCTACTTAAACTATTTAAATAATGTCTGGTGTCTGTACTGTTACTTGATGTTCTCTATGACCATGTCTTGAAGTTACAGTGTTTTTCTCCATGATTTCTACCAAACTGTAGACCCATTGTTAGTGATATGTAATGTGGAACAAGGCTAACCATTGTAGAGCTCCCACAGCATTAGTGTTCTTTTTGGCAAGATTACAGACAATAGGCATAAGAATTAGATAGATAAGCATATGGCTTGAATTTTTATGTAAAAATCTCTTGTGGAGGGCTGATAAAAATAATCAGAGCAATTTCCCTTAGCAAACTAAAACCATGGAGTTTAGAAACGATTGTGAAAGATTTATATAAGTGTATATGGGATTGCATTATGTATCAATGCATCCTGACTTCTCTAAATGGCCTTTTACTTTTTGCTTTATAGATATGGAATGAAAGGGCATATAACAGCAAATATATCAAGGTATGTATACTTCTCAAAAGTGAAATTTAGTTCTGAGGTTTCTTTGTTATCATTTACACGTGATTTACTTGTCTCACTTCCCCTGGAATGAAGGCCTTAATCCCATGACTGCTGACTGAACTCTTTCTTGTGGTGGTTGCAGGCATAAAATACTGATAGGGTCAGATCTTTAGAATTTTTTTATTTGAAAAATTTATTTTGAACTTTGTAGATCAGTGTGTGCTAAACATTCAGGACACTTGAATGGAAGCCCCAGTTGAATCATACAAATTCATCTTCTTACCAGGTGAAAAATAGCTTCTTTTGTTAAGTCTAAGATCTACAATTACTTTAAATTGTGATATTCCAGTGGATATAATACACTTAAATTATTGATATACCAGTCCAGGTTCTTATAACACTTTCTGGTTTGCCTTTTCCATAAAGTAAAAGCTCTATATTTTAACTGTGTGAAAGTTAATACCTTGTTCTAAATGAGTTGGAGAGTGACAGTATTTCACATCAGGTAGAACTAAGCTATCACTGCTTCCTTCCTTGCATGCCCTTCTTTGAAAGCTCACTTCTGTTTGAGTTGTGTTATACTTAAGATTCCACGTCAGCATAAGTTCTGCTATATTCATTTCCTTGTTGCTGCTTTGCAGCTAAGAAGCAATTACATTGCCTGTTCTTAAAACGAAGAGTTAAGGTGAATATGAAGGAAACTGCTGTGTGTTTGTTTTTTTTTAATGTAGAACTCAGCAGAAATTGGATCCCTTCTGCTTAAAATTAGTTAGTGGCTATTAGATAAGTTCTTTTAATTTGTATATACTGCATAAGGTCAGTTGTGTTATTTATCTTGGCAACTTCTGTACTTATTTCATTCAGTGGTTAATTTTAGCACAATACAGAAAGTTGTGTGCAACACTTAGACATGACATTTCATTAGCAGGGAAAAAAAGTTAGGCATAAGTTAAATGTCTTTCATGAAGCTGACATATACAGAATTCTGCCTGCTTTTGGAAAGTAAGAGTGCTCTCCTATGAAACACTTCATTTCCTTCCTAGTATGCAAGTTTCTTTACAGCTCCTATGAACTGCTTTGGGTGAGGGATATCAGGAAGCAGAAAATTGTTGGCATTGTACCTGATAACAGAGAAAGAGAAACACCTTATCCAGTTTTGTGTTTCTTCTTAACAGATATGTTAATCAACTGTGTATTTTAAACTGATTTATGTGGTCACTCTACTGCAGGAGTTTAGTTTACATGGCTTATCACAACTTAGACCAAATTCCACATTATCTGTGCTTCATTACACAGCTAATTTCATTAAAGTGCTTTTTCTATATTATCACTTCTGTAGGCTACTACAAAAGTAGTTCACTAGTCAGATATGGGCTAATGGAGAAATCTGAAGATATTAGTAGTTTCCTAAAAGATAATTCTAATTGTAGGGAATAAGGCAATGTAAGATGTAACACATAGGATGCAACATAACATGTTTTCTGTACTGCAATTTAGATTTATTCATAGACTAGATGATATGTTCTTTTGTAAAAGGGATCATCAAAGAGAAGGCAGATCTTACCATAAATAAAATACTCATGTTTCACTAAATCATTGATTAGTTTTCTTTACATCACATAAGAAATTGATTCTCTTTTGCTCAGTTCTCTGCAGTGCTACTTGGAGGCTTTCTAACCTATTTGCCTTGGCTTCCTGATGTGCAGAGAATGAATGCGAAGAACAAACTATTAAGTGAAGGTGTGGCATTCTGTTTGTTAGCTTTTTAAATACCACTGAATTGGAACAGCTTTTGGCTTCTGGAGCTAAATTTAAGTTTGATCTTGAAATCACCAAAATATTTACTGAAATATGTCAGCCTTCCTCTACTTTATGGCTTTATTTAACATCTGTTTTAGCATTCATTCTCTTGCCTGTTGCAGTGTCGTGTGGCATCTCTTCTTTATCTAACACAATTTCATTTGCAGTCAGTCATTTTAGAACAGATGTGTTCACCAAAGTGTGCATCTGTACAGCAAACTTTGTTATGACATACATATGTTTGAGTTCTTGGTTATCTTGCTAAGTGTTTTACTGTAAGAATTTATTTTATTCATCCACTAAAATTCCAGTTAGATTTCTTACAAAGTAGAAGAAAAATGAAACAAGCAATGATTTAGGTGCTTTTAAATTCCTATTGAATAAGATACTATTCTTCTGATTCTTTAAATACCATCAGTGTACGCCTTAAATTTTAGGATTAGTGTATCTTTGTATAAATACACGCACTGGAGTGGCTGGAACAACACCATTCGACGTATGTTATTGTGGAGTGTGTGTTTTGGGTATCTATGATGTGTCCTCAGTACCTGTCTTTTCACATGGATGTTCTGCAGTATTTCTAGTTGTTCTCTTCTACTGAACTACCTCCATGATTGGACAGTTCTCCATATGTTTAACGTAAGTTTTGCTGGATGTTCATTGGGTTTTCTTTTCTCCTAATTCTAGCTACTCCAGAGATCTAATCATGTCGTTCTTCTTTCAAAGACTACTTAGATCATGTTTTGTCTTATCTGTTATCTCTTCTGAAGAACAGTTAAAAAGAATCCAAATGATTCTAGAATCTAGATTTAGATTTAGATTAGAATCTAGATTCTAGATTCTAGAATCTAGAATCCGTTCTGAAACAACTAACAATTGATCTTTTCCCTTGCAGTAAGCTGACACTTTTTCTCCTTTAGTGAACCTCCACGATCCTCAGAATCATTTCAGCAGACTTTCTGCATACTTTATATAGCGTACAACACAGACATACCTATCAGTGCAGTTAATACTATTAAATCAAAATCGCTTATGAACAAGTAAATTATTTATTTCATGGTACTATTACAATTAGTCAAATTCTTCCTTGCTATGGATCTTGCATGAACTTAAGGAATGTACTTTTTCAGTAAGTGTCTAATTAAAATAGCAATTTGTGACAGTCCTTTCTGAATCCTAGTTCAGAGATTTTTGTGGTCCTGTCTTTTGCTGCTCCTCACCCCAAGTGGATTCATCCCTGTTAATTTACTAGTAGTTTTTCTACTTGTAGTACTTATAGCCTTGATTTTAGACATCAGCTAGGAAACACTGTCGAAAACATCTTTAGAAGTCTCAGTTCCTTTAGATTTTATTGCTAGTGAACTGCAGAGCACCTTTATTTTCAGAAATGTGGTTTTGTCTACCTGTGCATCTTCTCCAATCTTTTTCTACCAATGAAGCCAAGCACATGCATAGACTTCCAAGGTGTTGTTATAATTGAACTGGCAACACTTCTGTTCCAGTCAGGTGCTTAGTATCTTACAACTGTTTGGGGCCAGAAATGGAAAGTCTGCAGCCAAGTGTAAGAGAAGGTATCTGACAAATCTTGGGGTTAGAACTTGGGATTTAACATTTTGCAGTGTTTTAGACTGACAAAATAACATAGAGTTGTCTTCATAGTTCTGAAATGTTTAGTCTGTTTGCCTCTTCTGCTTGGTGAAGAATTTTGACTTAATGCACTGAAGGTTAACTGTAACAGAATCTTAAACTATAATAGAGTCACCAAGGTTGTTAGAGAACTCTAAGATCAACCAGTCCAACAGCCATGGTAACTCCACCACCTCCCTGGGCAGCCTGTTCCAGCACATGACCACTCTTTCAGAGAAGTTCTTCCTAATGTCCAACCTGGATTTCCCGTGGCACAACTTGAGGCCGTTCCCTCTAGTCCTATTGCTAGTTATGTGGGAGAAGAGGCTGATCACAACCTCCCTTCAGGTAGTTGTAGAGAGCAATAAGGTCACCCTTGAGCCTCCTCTCCTCTGGACTAAACAATCCCAGCTCTCTTGGCTTCTCATAAGGCTTGTGCTCCAGACTCTTCACCAGCTTCACTGTCCTTCTTTGAATCTGCTCCAGGGTTTTGATGTCTTTGTTGTTATGAGGGGCCTAAAACTAAACAAAGAACTCAAGGTGTGGCCTCACCAGGGCTGAGTACAGAGGGATGATCACTTCCCTGCTTCTGCTGGCAATGCTATTTCTGATACAAGATCTAGCCTTGCTGTGGGTTTTGCCATTATGAATAAGTACTGTACCAAAGTCATAGTTTTTAAAATACAACATGTAGTGTCATATTGTTTGATTAGTGGAAAAAATGCTTTTCAAAAAACAGCTTTTGACAGAGATATTTAAACTTTTCATGCTAAAAGTTTTAAGTTACAGGAACTTCGCTATACTTCACTGTTTCTACCATCGTTTTTTTTTTTTTGTAAACTTTGTGCTTCAAAGGCTTATAGCAATTGAACAAAACTCCATTACCCCTTCTCTTTCTGAAATGTTATAAGTTTAGTATCCATTAATTCTAAGTTAAGGTTGTCACCAACTCATTGCCTTAGGTCCTTATCATGACTACATACCAAGACAGAAAAGCTCTGTGTTCTTCTTCGTGTTTCTAGAAGTATGTTATAAGAAATTGAGGATGCATGCCTGCTGGTGTTCAAATGACTTGAAAAGTCTTCCTTCTATGCTTGTTTAGAGTGCCTATTGCATCATCTCTCTGTGTCTAAGTATGGAAGAAGGATTTTTAGACTGTGGACTGATGTATTTTCCCAGATGCTCTTGCAGGTGGAAGCTGCTGAACCTTATTTTAATTTTTTCTTAAATTAATGTTTAGACTAAGACTCGTTTATAATACCAGTCTCTTTTGATGTGGCCTTCTGAATATTGGAGAGAACACTTCAGTGTTAAAAGCACTTATCAGTAACTTTATCTGATTTGTCATTATAGCTCATCTTTGAGAAGAGAAGATTTCACTTACCTGTCTAGCTCTGAAGAAATGGTTCTGCTGTCTGCTCCTAAAATTGTTTTCAGACTTAAATTTTCATGTTGCATGGTTAATGAAAGGCTGTACTTTAAGTGTTGTTATCTGTTACTAAGGTACTTCGGCAGTCTTTAGACAAACTGGGTCTAAGCAACATTGGCATCATCGCTGCGGATGGAGATTGGAA